AGACAGTCTTTCCCCTGAGAAGGGAGCACACAAGGATGTCTGCTCCATTAGGGCTGCAAAGGAAGTTGTTTTGACAGGATTCATTACATCATGCTCAGCTAGTTGGTCAGACACTGCTAAGTTGCTGTAGCCATGGTCCCAGCTACTGCTCTCACTGGCAGAAAACAGTGGCATCCACAAGGTGCTGATTTTGCATGCATTCAGAATGCAAGAGTTATGGGGTCACAGAGTCTTTCCCCTCGATTTCGAAGTTAAGCTTATGAGGCAGGCAATGTGTACCAGGGACAAGAAATAGATATCCAACTGAAAGGGAAATGTGTGAAGCTGTGAGAGTGAAGGCAAAGATGTAATGAATACCCAGGGATTTGGAGATGACAGGAACATGGACTGTGTGGAGGAAAGGCACAGACAATGAGCAGGGTCAGTCCAGGAGAGAGGCCATGTGGGATGCAGCCAGAATGAAGGGGTGGGGCTGCTCAAGCCCCTTAGAGTGTACCTCCCACCACCAAATGCCCCAATGCTGGGCTTGCAGCTGCAGGATTCAAGGATTGCTCTGCAGAGTCATGATCTTGTTTTTATCTCATCCATCCTTTCTCTGACCCCATTCCTTCCTTTTGGAATGTTGACCCTGTGCTGTAGTATTTTGGAAGCGTATAACTTGCTTTTTGAATTTTATAGGTGTTCACAGCTGAGAGTTTGTCTTTAGTCTTAGAAGAGACTTTGGAACTGAACTTCTAACAATGTTGGAACTGTTAAGATTATGGGGACTCTTGGAGATGGGCTAAAAATGTTTTTCATTATAAATGAAAATTAACTTTGGAGGCCAGGGGGAAATGTTATGGGTTAGATATGAAGGCTTGGCCACAGCGGTGTGTCCAATCTTTGAGAGGTGATTGGATCATGACAGCAAAGATGGATTAACTCATTCATAAATTCACAGGAGGTCTGGTCTATCTGGAGGAAGTAGGGTTCTTGTCCCTGGCCTCTTCTGTCTGCCTCTGTCTCTCTTCTTCCTCTTTACCATCATGGAGTGAGCAGCATGCTCACTATACCCTCTCCACCATGAAGCTCTGCGTTACCAGAGTCCTACAGCAATGAAGCCAAGCAATCATGGACTGAAATTTCTGAAACTGTGAGCCAAAATAAATCTGTTCTCCTTTAAACTGTCTTTCTCAGCTATTTGTCACAGTGACAAAAAAAAGTCTAATATGCCATCTGACGTCACTAAATTACCTAACTTACATAAGAAAGTATTCAGTAGACCCAATGCCAGGCAGGGTAACAAAAGCCTGAGGCAGGAGGATCACAAGTTCAAGGCAAGCCTGGGCTATGTAGTGAGACCCTGTTTTCAAAGAAAACCAAAAACAAAAGATTCCAAAAAGTAAGAATACTAACACAAATCAACAAAGATGCCACTATTCAAAAAATAAAACTAGCCGGGTAACAGTGGCTCATGCCTGCAATCCTAGCTACTCAGGAGGCAGAGATCAGGAGGATCGCAGTTTGATGCCAGCCCCAGCAAATAGTTCACAAGATCGTATCTTGAAAAACCCTTTACAAAAATAGGGCTAGTGGAGTGGCCCAAGGTAAAGGCCTTGAGTTCAAGTCCCAGTACTACATAAATAAATAAAGCTATACCTTGGTAAATGACTTGTTTTGGCTTTTTTTTTTTTTAAATCAAGAAAAGAGGCACTGCAGGTTTGGCTCAAGCAGTAGAGTCCCTACTTTTCAAGCACGAAGCCATGAGTTTGAACCTCAGTCCCACCAAAAGAAAAAATAAAAGGTTAAATAAAGATTTTTTAATTCATAGGCTAAAAGGAAAGGGTGAAGTTCAAATGGTATGGTGGGAGTAGATGTGTATCCATATGCATGTATTTTTTAGAGGGAGGGGGGCTACGGGAGCACGAACTCAGGGCCTTGAGCTTGTTAGGCAGCGGCGCTACCTCTTCAGTAATGCCCCCAAGCCCTTGACATAAATCTTTATACCTGACTGATGAGAGGTGCTCAAAGGCTATAAACACAGAGATGGAAATATTAATTACCCAGATTCGATCAGTAGATACTGTACACATGCATTAAAATATTGTAATATATGTACCTCATAAATGCATACAAACTGCATGTTAATGAAAAACATTTTTATGTTTAGAGACAGAAATGCTAACTGACCCTCATCTTACATGTTCTAGGCATATACTGAATTACCACAATGCAAAACATAAATATGTTACCATTAAAATAATTAATGCTTTTAAAAATTACCTGTCTGGGTAAAAGCCCCAGTGCACTAACACCTGCTTGTCTTTTCTCATCACTGGTCTCAACCATTCTTCTGAAAAAGAAAAAAAAATTTAAACTATAATTTAGCCTTAATTTGTACTACGAGTTTTTGGTTCACTAATGAGAGAGTGCACATGCACAAGAGCGTGGGGGAAGTGGGGAATGATTTTTTTAAAATAAAAGCCATCCACCAGATTAAAAGGAAATTTCTCAGCTTGCATATTCAGACTTGCAAGACTTCAGGTTTATGACCTATCACTCTCGACAAAACCAAATGTCAACTAAAGGAAATTACCCCCTTCACATTCAACTAAAGGAAATTACCCCCCTTCACATTCACCTGCCTGCCCCTCTCTTTTTTCTTTCTCTCAAGTCACAATGACCATATTATTCATTTCTTGCATAAAACCTCCCATCCCTTTTCTGTGAGCTTTGTATTAATTATACATTTCAAGATATAAATCATGCCTCATCACCTAGATGAAGTACTTGGCTGACTACTCTGCTTCTTCCAAATTCAACCTCTCTGGTGCCCTATAGTGCTACATCAAGGACTGGAGATACAGCTCACTGACATAGCTCTTACTTAACATGTACAAGGTCCCATTCCATCCCAAGTACCAGTAATAATAATGATGATGATGATGATGATGGGATGGGGAATGTAGCTCAGTGGTAAAGTTCTTGACAACCATGTACAAAGCACTAACCACCACAAAACAAATACCCGCGCCCCCCCCCCCCCCCAAAAAAAAGAGAAAACCTTCACATCACATTTTTTAATTTCTTCATATGTTAATCTAGCCCTCTCAGCAATAGTACAAATACTCAGCCTGGGGGTGTAGCTTAGCCGGAGAGTGGCTGCCTACCTAAGCATGTAAGAAGCTGGGTTCATTCACCAGCACCAAAAAGAAACCAAACAAACAGCACAAGCACTATGATTGTATGTTGTAGATATTTCTTTCAGGTTCCCTTTCCAAAGACAGATGCAAATTTACATAATGAAATGATACTTATTGATTTCAACCACAGTTAAATTAACTGCATTTCAACATTGGAAATCATGGCTTCTTTGGCAGTATGGATTTAAGCTTAGAAAATGTGTTAATAATTAGAATGGTAGTTCAAGTCTTTAACCAGACCTCCCAACATGGCCAAATTCTGAAAAAAGGAAGAGAAGGATCAGAAGACTTTTTAAAATCTATACTAGATGAACTAATCTATTGCTATCGTTTGGATAAATAACTCCTGAAGGCCCATGTGGAGGCAGTATTCGGAGTTGGTGGACGCTTTTGATAGGACCTATCTGGAAGTCTTCTGGTCACATGGGGTAATGCCCTTGAAGGAAATTATTCGGAACCTAGCTCCTCCTCTTTCTCTTTCTTTTGCTTCCCAGCCTTCATGAGGCAAGCAGGTCCCTCCTCCATGTGCTGTTCCCATCATGATATACTGTGTCACATAAGATCCAGAAGCAGTTGGTCAAATGACCATGGGCTACAACCCCCAAAACTGTAAGCTGAAATAAATTTTCCTCTTTAGTGGATTATCTCAGGTATTGAAGTACTGTGTCATAGTGACAAAAAACTGATTTAAGCACCTATCTTGTCTGACTATTCTGGCTCTGTAAGTTGCCTTCTGGAAAACTGAACCTACCTTGAAAGATTCAGTGCGTATAGGAGGAAAAGAAAAAAGGATAACGATCTTAATCACGGATGACTTTGAGAGAAAGAAATTTTGGCAGCAATTCCCTTTAAAAATTTCCTAGCAGCAGAAATAATTAAAGGTTTAAGGCATGCAAACTTACATCTTTCCAGATGTTCCACATTTATATGCAGTGTGATGGTTAATCTTCATCAACTATACTGAGAAACGCCTTGAGGATTAGTAAATCACACCTTTTGGTATGTTTGAGATGCCATGAAAGTGCTGATCTAGTGAACAGATAGATCCCTTGATGGGTTCATACTAAGATGTCATTACTAGGATGTGAAAAGTAGGAGGTAGGGCCTACTTGGAGGACATATGTCACACTGGCTGTGTGTCCTTAGAGTCTATCTTGCCCTGGCTTCTTTCTATATTCCTCTATTTTCTGTCTACGGTGAGGTAAGAACCTCCTCTGCCACACACTCTCACCAATGTGTTCTACCCAAGTGCATGGGGCTAACTGACATGGAATGAATACACCCTGAAACCATGAGCCCTTATAATCTCTTCTCCTTTACTTCTTTTTGTTTATTTTTGCAACACTGGTATTGAATGCAGAGCCTTGTACCTGCTAGGCAAGCACTCTACCACTGAGCTACCTCTGTAGAACCTGGTCATTTTTTGAGACAGGGTCTAACTATCTCAAGTTGTTTCTATCAAGTACTTGATCATGGCTATGCAACATTAATTAACAAACCCAGGATTTAATTTATAAAGACATAATTAACAACTGAGAGAAACCAAAACCACAGAAGAATTTATATTATTGCTTATATTTCCCAAGAGAAAGGGACACAACACACCATTCAGGGCAACAAGAGAAGCATCGGAATGATCAGTGAGGAGAGCCTATGCCAAAGCCTTAATTAGGGTTTTCATACGGAAGGCAGAACTGAGCATACTGGCTGGCTAGTTTGAATAATTTAGGCAGGCTATGGAACATAAAAGAAACCTCTAATTGCCTGGCACTAAGATGACCCAAGAAATGGGAAATCTGGCTTGGTAAATGAGAACTACATAAAAAGATGGTGAGTCTACACACTTGGTATTATTGGTATGCATACAAAAGATGTGCTTGTAAGCAAGTTGTTACTATCTTTAGAAATAAGACAGGCAGTCTTTCCCCATGCCCCCAAGTGCCAGAGAATCAAGGATATAGTAATTAGGAATATACAGTTAATATAAGTGATGAATGGATGCCTAACAGAATGTTTAAAAGCAAAACTAAATGAAACAAAACACTAAGAACCAAAGAAATGGGCAGACATGGAAGCATATTCCTGTGATCCCAGAATCTCCAGGAGACAAGAGGCAGATGGAGCAAAAGTTCAACTTTGCCTCAAAAAGAAAGCATTCGACAAAGAAAAGACAAAAATTGGCTTAAAACAGGCAAAAAGGATCTGAACTATAAATGACCACAAGGCATATGAAAAGTTGCCAAGCATCATGAATAGCAAGAGAAATTCAAACCAAAACCAGAGATAGTACTTAACACACATGACACTGGCTAATATAAAAGACAAGTGATAACAAGTGCAGCTGAGGATGTAGAGAAATTGAAATCTTCAATACAATGCTGATGGGGACTGTAAAGTGTTACAATTCATAAAATAGTTAAAATGTTAAATACAGAATTACAACATGACTCAGTAATATCACACCTAGGTATATACACAAGAGAAGGAATTATCTTGTCCAACAAGATAATTTTTATACTAGTGATCATACCAGCATTACTGATAAATATCCATCAACTTTTACATGGAAAAACAAAGTGTGGAATAGCCCCTATATAGAATATTATTGGTCATAAAAAGGAATGAAGTTCCAATGAGTAACATCAGGAAAACAAAGGAACAGGAAACCCCAGAACAAGCAACCCAACAGACACACCAATGTAACAAATAACATATGGTCCAAAATTCCAGAGAACTCAAGAAAATAATTAAGACTCAGGATACCTGAGTATCTGGAAGTGGTGGTACATGCCTGTAATTCCAGCATTTGAGAATCTGAGGCAAGAAGATCCTGAGGTTCAGGCCAGCCTTGGCTACATTAAGGAAACTTTATTTCCAGAATAAAAAGTAAACAAAGAAAAGTAAAAAAAGAACAGCCACACTGAACTAGGTTACAAAAAGCTACTTCACATCAACCACAATAGCCCTTCCCCTTAGCAGAAGAGCTAAACAAGCTAGGAGTTTCTTTCTTTGGAAGGAAAAGAACAGAAGACATGCATGTTCCAGCTTTTAGGGGGACTGCCTAAGGAACTAGTTTCAGTTTCCCCTAACTTTGGAGCACTAAAGGGAAATCAGCGTACTTTGGATGTCTGAGAATCAAGGAGAACAAAAAAAAGGGAAGCCAGTAGAATGCTGTAGCACCGGAGATCCTGCAGTATAGCAGACAGATACACCAGAGGAAGAAAAAGACTATAAACTGCTGAAAAAACTTGGCAAATCATGAGATTTAACAGATTATGTGCACAAGACTGGAAAAATGCATAAACAGGAAAGATGTGAAGGATCCTAGAATTACTAAACAGGATGACTGATAAAGCCTTTTCCCCTGTACAAAGCCACTTCACACAAACTCGGGGAGGGGTGAATTTTTCAAAGATACAAAACAGGGCAAATGTGTGAACTCTGTGTGTGTGTGTGTGTGTGTGTGTGTGTGTAACAAAAATCCTTTTGAAATTCCCTGAAACAAGAGTTCAAAGAAGCATTTTAAAGAACGTATGGTGGAGTAGAAACAGCCCTTGTTACTAAGCAAAAAGCAGAAAAAGAAAACATGAGGAAAAAAACAGAATATAAACAAGAGATAGACAAAGCCTAACAAATTATGGAGCAGAAAAAAATAATCATTGAGTTGCAAAATTCATTAAGAGTTCAAAAATAGATTTTCTTTAAGCAGAAGAATGAGCAGAAATTGAAGACAGGCCATTTGAAAATGTCAGAGTCAGAGGGACTGAAAAGAAAAAAAAAGAAGAAAAAGAAGGAAGCCTATCAAGCAGACACAGTAATAAAAGAGTAGAAAAAGAAAAAGAGAAGGATGGGATCAAAAGCTTTGTCTGAAAAAATTAATGGTGAAAACTTTCCCAAATTGAGGAAGGAAATAGATAATTAATTCTGAGAAGCTAAAAGGGGATTCCACTATGAAGAAATCCAAGAGACCACATCTAAGACACAAAGTGTGGTGGAAAGTCAAAGACAAAGACATCTTTTGAACCACCAAGAACTCTTCAATGTGTAAGAGAGCCTATTACAGTTACTAGGCAAAAGGGAGAAGAATATCAAAATGGCTGGAAGATTAGGCTGGAATTTAGCTCAATGGTAGGTCATATGCAAAGCCCTT